TTTTGCACTAGAATTCTTGTTACTTGGCTTCAATTTCATGTGACAATCCAAAGGACAATCCAAAGTCTTGATCCAGCAAATGTGTCTCATACTAGTACTGTAAGACCCATACCTCATAGTAGACCATGGAATAAGTATGGGTCTGAAACATTGAGAATGACTCCCCTGTTAAAAAACAAGCTCACCATTTCATTTTTATATTTTTAAATTAAAATTGGGATTATTAGTTATTCATTTTTGGGTCAAGATAGTCTGAAGTATGGGTCTAAAAGTACAGACCGATTTTTGGGCTAAGGTTGTTTTCTGAAGCAGACCCCCAGGAGTTGCATAGTGCCTGGCTCAGTCCTTTGAAGTTTGATGGACAAAACAGGTGGGGGGAGGGTGGAGCTGGCGGCATTGAAATATTTTTTAAGTGTGTTTGCGGGTTCTACGGTAATTACTCAAAAATTTCAAGCACCACAATTGGTTCTTATATCTGATGTTTTCAAGATTGATTCAGTTCTTATTTTGCATAAAAAAATGCATATTCTGACTTTAATCCCATTCACTTTTTAAAGGGCTGAATCACTATTTCTGAATATTCTTAAATAATATAGTTTGTGGTTATATGATTTATATTTGGTTTTCAAAAATCAACAATATTCACAATAAATTTTATACATCTTTCCTATAATCTTGAGATTATTTACTCTGGTTAAAACAGTAGCAAGTTGTGCTTATTTATTTTTTATTTTTTTGCCATTGAAAATTGTTGTTAACTATAACAACTAATAAGTTGTTAACTCATACATTCTGTAACAGACATGTTTCAGATGTATAGCTAATAATGACATTTTGAAGTTCATCCCTCTGCATCAATTTTTTAAAAAATGAAAAATATTGACCTTTTCATTTTATATGTCATTACATTTCAATTCTGCTATCACACAGTTAACCAGCCAGTCAACCACAATTTTATTTTGAGGTTAGTATACAACAATTGTGGTCAAATAATAGAGTCAATTTTCAACAGATTAATAAAAAAAAAAAAAAAAAAAAAAAAAAAAAAAACATTCATGCCTGGAGTAATTTGTTGAAGTATGAAAAAAGATTGTGGATTAAATTTTACAGATTTTATACATAGTACATTCTCTGCTTTCTTAACATAGACAAATTTTTTATGTTTTTTATTTACATATTTATTTATTTATTTATTTTTAGGACAGTGACTTTCTATTAAATGCAGTTGATGTCATAAGCACATGTTGATTAAGTATTTAAAAACAATATTTAAAATGAAATACATGTTTAATTCTTATTTTTGACAGGTTTGGTGCAGTCTGTAGCAGAAACGTTCTGTAATTATTGTTATTTGCATCATATTCTATAATTCTGGCTGTTAATCTTCATAATGGAAGTGTTGCAAACTGGTTGTCAAAATATATATCTTACCACATAATGTTCCTGTAATTCAGAGTAGAGGACAGACAATAAGATAATGTCTTAGTATTTTGCTCAAATTATATCACTATTTCTTGATATTTTCTTCGAATGAAAATAAAAATATGTAAGCCATGACAAAAGGGGGGGGGGGGGGGGGCAAAAGGACAATAAACTATAAGCATCAAACCAGTACATTTAGTAATATATCACAACTTCATAGGTGAAAGTGTTTCAAGACACCACTTTCAATGATTTATGTATAAAGACTATTCTTGTCTGGTTGGAGACCATGGCATGTTTGAAAGAAAATGGAGTGTAGAGATAATTGTTGGATAATGAAACACATACAAGCATAGGCCTTTGTATTCTGTCTACATCCAGTCTATAGATTAAAGTGATATCCTTAAAATGGTATGAAAAAAAGGGAAATAAGTTTGTACAATTTTTCAGAAATGGAAAGATAATGATGCCAATAAATCATAAACCGTCATTTGGTAACTCTTTTTTGGGGTTATCATCCTAGTTTTTCTTTAAGGGATTTTAGCTTCAAAAGAACCCAAAAAGGTAAAATTGTCTAGAAGGTTCTATTAATTACAGGGTGTCACATCATCATGTCGCCAGTTTAAATCACCAAAAGGGTGACACATGATCTTGTCCCTGGACTGGGACACCCTAACGCTAGGTGCACATAACATTTGAAATCGGGTCACATTGGTGTGTGGCTGCCTCTTATGGTGGTCTGTCTCTTCAAAGCTATGAGATGAGTTGCCTCAGTGGTCGAAACTGACAGTGATAATGTCGTAAGCATGTTTCAGGCGTAATTAATATTACTTTGTACAACACTGTTGCATGGGGCAGCCTATGTTCTTTGATTTAAAAGTGTTTGTCTAGGTAGCTACTTGTCTGTAAATGTCCCTGAAAAAAGTATACAAGAGAGAATCTGTCTTGTATAAAGTGTGATTGAACTACAATTTTAGTTCATTAATGTGGATATAGCTGTGAATGCAATTTCTGTGGAAGAGGTTCACTAGGCAGTAGGCAGTGTCTTCACCTTCATGTACTGTAAGTTGTTTTTAGACTACAGGATCACTCAAGTCCTTTTTTTTTTTTTTTTTTTTTTTTTTCAGAAAGTGGAGGACATTGGCATCTAGTTCAGACCTTGTGTCTGGATATTGACTTGTGTCTAGTATTGGCCATTTATGCTGGCATCTTAAGAACTTGCTTCTGCTCAAAGTTGCAGTTTACATACATAAGACTCTTACTGCATTATTTAGAGATTTCGGTTAATAATTGTTTTCTAGATTGCACTTATAGCTCTACAAATTTTGAAGAGAATTTGTACAAATTATAATACAAACTTAAAACATGAAGGTATACATTTTAACTATCTGAACTGGTGCCCGTTTAGTTATGGAGTTGGTGTAGTCAGTGCACTGTGGGACTTCCATTTCCCTAGGACTTCAGTCACAAACAAGGATGGCAAATGGTGTCAACTGACAAAGATTACTAGTAATATTCTACTGTCAGTGACATATGTTTAGCACTTTAGATCTTGTAAGTATGCATCTCATACTGCATATTTTATCATGATGGCAGAGGATTACAATGAGGATTACATCAATTGTCTGATAGAATATGCACACATTTTGCTCACTGTCTGGGAAAACAATGCCCTTTCTCATCAAAGGTATAAAATCTATCGGAAATACAGGAAATTTTTGTTAAGTATCCCTTTGGGTATGTATTACTGGTTATATCACCCTTAAGTCGATTGTATGCATGTGAAATTGATTTTTTTCTATTTAAGTTGGATCATGTGTAGACTTCTGTGGTGTTTAATAATCTATTATTTATGTGATGTATTCTGAGTAATATTTACACCTGGCTGTAGAGTTCTCTTTGATGTCTGGTTTTTTGGATGTCTAACTAATAGTTGTGTTAAAGTAGTAGACTTAAAATGTTTTACACCTGTATATAACATTTTTTAAATTTAACAATTTTTCCTTTAATTGTCAACTTGAAGGTACATTTGTAACAATTTGAAAAAAATTATGATCTATAAGCCACTTTTAGTGGTAAGTTTCTGGTTTTATAATTGAGATGGAAACTGGGAAATGTCACTCATGACACTAAAAGTGACTACCAGGTCTGAAGTGCCTTGTATGCCATCAATAATCGTGTTATAATGATCTGTTTGGGATAAAATGATCAATAGGATAGGTGCACTGGTCCCTTTTAGTACTGTGCTAATTGCTTATGTCTGCATGCAAAAATTTCTCTTATAACTGGGACTTGTATAGAAGAGTCCAGAAATAAGGTGAATAAATAATTAAATATGTGACTGTGCTTTTGAAGTTCTGGGATATGATACCGTTTGTCATACTCTTTGGTGGAAATGGTCTTTGGTGGACTTAGGCCCTTTTGCATAAAGAAGACATTTTCTATATTGCACCAGCTTGGCTAGTGCTAATATGTTATTACTATTGGGGGGTGGGGGTGAGGAGTTATCTTCTTTCACGATCCCCAGTGTCTCTGTCAGTCAAAATTGATTTGGTTACCTGGACAAGTTCATCACAGGGACTCGGTTTAGTTGCCCGCATACATTATAGCTAGGCAGTTGTCTATCTCTTGAACTGGAGCGGTGCAAAAAACTGAACTGCTTGATGTGAAAAGGCCTTACTGTGTCCCTCCTTTATAGTAAATTTGAACATATGGAGATGTGAAAAGAAAGGAGCCTGTATGCAATAGACCTGAAGCTTCAGGTTTTTACCCTTTGTTTCACTTGTCCTAGCACTACATTTACTGAATACCCACATCTCATTGTTTATAAAAACTGAAATTTGTCAGTTGAAGTTTCATCATTGTCTATTTTCAGTTGACAGCTGCCTATGACCAGTTCATCAAGCCATTGGAAGATTTCAGAAAGGATCAAATAGGTGGCGCCAAGGTAGGTTGTAAAATGTGGTGAGCTTATTGAGAAAGGGGGCAGGTGAGGGCAGGGGAGAAGTTCAGTGTGCTGAGTAAAAGAAGGGCAGGAAAGTGGATTTAGGCTCAAAATGCCACTAAAACTTAAATTTTTGCTACTGGATTAAAATAGGCTATTTGTTCATTTGCCCAAAAAAGTACATGGTAATGACTTAATCTTTTCAAGGGTTGAAAAGCTAAAAATATCAATAATAGCTACATAACTTTAAAATCAATATACTAGTAAATATCTTTTGGTTTAGCATTTGTGGTCCTTTTCTGTATAGATTAGAACTATTAGGTAGCCAGGGCCCCGTATTTCGAAAGGTTTGCTATGTTGCGCACGTGCGCAAGCGTCTCGATTCCATAACTCGCCCATACTCGTCCCATATAATACATTGTAGCCTCTATTTGATATAGCGATTCGCAATACGTGATGCTTTCAAAATACGGAGCCCTGCTTTTCAGTTTTGTTGCTACCACTCAATAGGGATATATTCTAATTTTAAGAATTTATGACTTAAAAAAGTACAGGATTGGTAAAATTCACAATTTTCCCCATTGAAAACATTAAGTCATTACCCTATGTCCGTTAAAGATTTGTATTGTATGCTGATGTTTGAGAATTGGGTTGGGGGGGGGAGGGGGGGGGGCATCAAATTGGGTGGAGCAGAAAATATGTTAGTCGATAGTCAGAAAGTTTTCATTTATGATAGATCCTGAAATTTGCTTTACCTGTTGACTGTTTTGTCTGTTCACTCTCAAATTTCAGGATCTGTCATAAGGAAAACTTTCTGACTATCAAAACTAAGATCAAATGAAACTATTTTCACATGTTAGTTTGACCTCGCAGAGATGGGAGGAATGGTCACATATTTATAGTGATCTGTGTGGCTTCCACATTGAATGCTTTCAATAAGGCTTTGGTGATCACTTCACAGTTAACATGTGCTGGTTGCATAAACTTAATTATTTATGTTATGACATGGAGGCAGGCATTGAGTGTGTTAGGTGTGCTTCACAAGGAGCATTGTTCTTAAGACTTGCTTACACTATGTTGTGACTGCTTTACCTTGATCTGTACTACTGTAGCACACAGTGTGTGAGGAAAGTATTTTTTTTTTTTAGATTTTAAGGGTTTTTTAGTAGGTCATATCTGAAAATAATTATTGAAGTACTAAGATTTGCTTTGCTTTGGCAAGAGGTAGGATTGAGATGTTCTTAAATTTTTTTATTAAAAAAACAGATTAGAAAATGAAATTACTCATACAAGCTAATCAAAAAATAAATAGTAATAAATAATTAATAAAATAAATAAATAATTTCCAATTCATTTACCTGAGGAGAAAAATAGAATATCAAAAAATCTGGCCCAAAATCATATTTTCACCTCTTTGATACTCTGAAGGATCTTGTTTAAGGCAACAGAATTATGCTAACTGTGAACCATCTATCCATGTACACTCAAATAATAGGCAGCCCCTGAGTCACCAGGCAAAACACATGAGTCACAAACTAACTTTTCTTGATCTCTCTCACCTGAGTTGAAGAGGGGAGAGAATTAACCAGAGGGTATTTTGCTTGAGTAAATATATCAATAATAACATTGTCATTATACAAAAAAGAAAACACTGCATTTTAGTGAATTCTATAAGAACATACAGCCTTACAAACCCAAAACCAAACAGAAGATGACTTAAAGATTGTGGCCAAGTTGAAGTGACCAGGAGGCTTAGCAAATATAGGATATTCTCAGAGGGTCAGCAAGGTGGTATTTACTCAGGCACTGACCTTACCTGAGCCTCCAGCTAGTGTCCCCAGGCTGGGAATACAGGTGTGACACTTATTAACTGAGAGCATGGTTATTGTTCTTGAATTTCAAATATTTGTGCTTTTTTTTTATCAAAGTGAAATAGAAAAGCTTTTTCAATTTTAAAAAAAGATTTTTTTGTCACCTGTTTTGTTTGCTAATTGCTGTTTAAATGTCAAACACCTTATTTTTTAACTGTTTGAAATATTTCAATGATAGTAAAAAGAGAGAAAAATAATCACTTTTTAGAAATTTATTATCCATCTCATGTAATACAAACAAATTTGCTTTGAGAAAAGCAATGATATCATAGAAAGTCTAGAAAAATAAAATAATTAATTGTGTTTGGCTTCAGTAAGCTATTATTGATTTGCTCAAATTTTATCCACCATGAGAACTGGCATTCATGGCTGAAGCATTTTATAAGGCAAATTGTATTAATTTTGCCTAATTTAATTAAATTTTTACATACCCAGCAGTGCAATATGACATATTAATATTGGAAATTAGTCCTTTGAGATTGTACTTTTCTCACTCGGGTATGAAAAGGCAAAATAATTAATATTGTTAGATTTTTTTAAACCAGTTTTCACAATTTACTGTTTGGCTTAATGATACTCATTCCAGTAAAGCAAAGACACATTTCTTGATGCTACCAAATCAATACATCTTTTCAAAAAATGCAAGAAATCTTTTTTTTTGTCTCTGGGTAATTTTTGTTCACTGAGGTACCTCTCGGACCCAGGTGCGTACAAGCACACACCGTTAATGTTTGTAAACAACCCCCTTTGATCTATTGTTGTTCCCGTTCCACCAGATTAGGCTAGAGCTGTGGTCATTTAAATATAGCGACCAGGGTGAACTGGCCAGACAATACACAAATATGTTGAGACGCACAGGACAGGCTCTGAAACAGTCTCTGGACAGAATATATTTTTTCGAGCAATTTTGTTTTATGCTCTGATACTGTTCAGTTGATAGCAGTCTAGATTGGTGTTCAAAGGTAAGCTGTATGTTTGATTTTTTTCCTAATGTATTTTTTAGAGGAATTGGGTGTGGAGAGAGGGGGAAGGAGATAAAGGGGAGATGAGAAAAACCTGTGGCTTTCTCTTCTAATTGTTATTTTTTTCTACCCTGGTCCATACAAAACTAATATGAATCCATGCGTGGTCTCCTGTTTATTGATTTTACTGTGAACTCTCTGCCAAAACACATTAGTTGGAATATGACACTGGGAAATAAATTGCGAAAGCATGCAAAGATGGGGGAAAAAGATAGGCATTGCTAATGTTCACTGAGCCAGCATTCTTGTCCATTGACCAGTTGTACCCTGGGTTCCAGAGACTTGTTTCACAAGTAGACTGAAACTTCTTGGGTTTGTGCTGGTATACATTTCCTAGGGTCTGTTTCTCAAATAGTCTTCAGTCAGTTGTGGGGCTAGAACCTTAGTCAACTAAGACTTAACTGAGAATGGGTTTGGGTCAAGCTTAGACTGCTAAAATCCTTAGCCAGAGCTTCATAATAAGATCCAAGAGCTTCATAATAAAATGATTGGCCCCACAATTATGGGGCCTCATGTTTGAGCTGCTGTAACCTTATGAGAGTGGAAACTTTCATCAAGGCGATTACAGTTAACTTAATGGGCTTTGTTAACAGACCAAAATATAAATGAAGCGTCCTCTAGGACTTTATGTAAAATAATCTAAGTCATTACAATCTTAATAGACTTAGATTTTAGCCCCAAAACTGACTTGGGACTTTTTGTGAAACAGGAACTAGGAATTGTATTCCAGCACAAAGAACTCTAAAAACTTGGAAAGAACATTGAATCTGTGTGAATACTGGCACTTGAAAAAGAGCGAGAGCCTAAAAATTGGTCTATATTTTTAAGCTAAATTTATGTGTACATTGCCCCATGATAACTCAGTAGTAATCCAATTGAAAAACATGTTGTGTCTCAGTTAAATTGGGAAATATGTCTAATAGTTCAGACCAATACATGCTTTATTTATATGGTCTACTATAGATTTATCTTGAACGGATGTCAATAAAAATATTGGTGTAAAATTTGAAATTTGGGAACAGCCCTATCGCTGTAAGTTGCCAATATTTAAGTTCAGGTCTCTCTGATTTAGATTATTTTGATCAGATGAAATGTGGATGTGTCATTGAGAGAAACACACATTTAATGTTCGTTCACATGTGCAAATTTAAGTCTTATCATTTATAAAAGAGGGGGATTGTACTATCAAGAAACCTGAATCTTTTCCTGGAAATAAGCTCTGATCTGCTGCCTGTTTTGAATTTACTCTGGGTGCAAAATCTAAAGTGTAAATATATCTTTTAAGTTCTTTTCTTTACCTTAGCATGCTGTTGCTTTTTAATTGACCAAAGGGTGGTTGATATTATGGTAATTTGTACAGATTATGTATAAATTTTCAGTTGTTTTGTAAACGTTGCTAAGAAGAACTTGGAATGACTCTGGTGCAAATTGTCTGTAATAATTAAAAGGACAACATGCTAAACTATAATCAATGTCTGCGAGCCAAGCATTGCTGAAAATTACCATTTCCTGAAGTATAATACAGTGGAGATTTTCCAATTTCCGAAATAGAATACCACGTCTAGTTGTCTATCATGGGACTGTTACAAGTCACTGCTTGACTCATTGTTTTGTTTTAGCTTGAGATGAAAGTCAGTGATTTTAGAGTGGCTATTGTTCTTATGATGATACAGTTTGCCTACAAGCAGGCCAAAAAAATTGAAACATTTAATAAAATATGAAAGAGAGGAGAAAAATGGGTAGGGGGGGTAGAGGAAAGTAAGAATATATACGTAGGCTTGGTCATGGGTGTGGTAAGCTATTTCCTCTCTGCCCGTTTGATGTCTCTATGCAATCTGAAGCTTGCTTGAAGCTGTTTTGGTTTCGGTAAAGAGAAAGTTTTGTTCCATATAAAGTATATTACCAGATGTTTTAATTATGGCATGAATTTATGGATTGATATATCATTTATAAATTATAATCTACTCATATTCACCTTCAAGTTGGTGCCCTTTAAAATAGGGTCAGTTATGTATTTTTATTACCACGAAATATGTAATTATCATATATTAATTGTGTACAATATGATTATTAACTGTGGAGCAGGTTATCTTGCCTATGTTTTTTCAAGTTACTGCATGTTTGAATGTAGTATAGCAATAGTTAATTTAGCATACAATTACACTTGTTAAAAACATTTCTTATAAGGGCAGTTCTTCTGTGCATTGATAAAGCTAAATGTCATTGGTTTAGTATTTGCTTTGAAACCTGAAATTTGCCATTTTATTTCCTGATGTTTTGATTATTTACTTTAAGCTTAATCATGATTTATGATGTCATCAATGGATGCCTTGTTATTACGATAAGAACATTTTTTGTTGAAGCAAATTTTAGAATTTCTTAAAACTTGTATCAGAAGACTAGGGCTGAGACCTCCAGGCATATGAAACTTCAGCCAAATTGGTAAAGACATTTAAGAAAAAAAAATGACAACTCAAATATTGAACCAGAACAATAGATTTCCACTGATTTGATGTAAATGAACAATTTGGCTCAAGGAAATGATAAATTACATGAAATGTTGTTTTGATCGCGGTATGTGTTATTTTGTATTTGTGCATTGATTGATCACTGACCATTCCCCACTGAGTTGTCATTGTGGCCTATTTTTTCCTTTGCTTTGCAAGCTTACCCTTGATGAGTGGGATAAGACACTGAAGGTTGGTCCTGTGTTGTTTCTCTTGTGTTAGGTGTGACTGTGAGTGAAGTATTTTCCAGCTAGACAAAAAGAAATAAAAAAAGGGAGGGGGGGATATTGGTGTTAATGCATATTGCAGTTTTTTTACATGAAAATATGAAGAATATATTTTGAATATTTCTATGCAAACATAAAACAAAATTATTTAGATGTTTTTTTAAAGCCCGAAATATGCCCTGTACCTCAGGTCAGTTTTTTTAACGCTAATCAAAATATTGCAATCTCAATCTAAAAAAAAAGTATTAATTGTAAATTTCTGTACAGCCATCCTTATACTCCACACATTCATGCCTAACTTGTGATGCCTGTAGCCAAATCCATGATGTATTAAGTTGGATGTCTTGGGTGTGCAGACACAATGCTTCTGTCACACCTAACACACTGTCAGATGTGTTGTCTTTATTTCAGTGCCAATGAATTTTTTGTTCTTTATTATTATCATTATTAATATTATAATTATATTAAACTAATATCATAGCTGATGATTATTTCATTTCTTAGAATTTTTATGGCTGGTG